TATGGTCCCAAAGAATGGTGTTCAGAAAGAACACACATTTGTATATTAGAGAGATAAGAGCTTGTCTATGTATAGGCAAGATAAACGTAGCTACACCAAAGTGTTGCGTCTGGCCTGCAGATGTCCTGCACTCTAGCACATGTGTGCATACCTAACTCGACTAGGTACACACTTGGTGGGTTATATGACCTCCTGCGAGTGGTCACCACATGTTAGAGATAAGAGCGAGATTATGTTTCCCGCGGTCGGGGATATACCGATCCGTGGGTCTAGAAATAAGGATATGAAAATCTCATGTTAGCTACCTAAGCTAGGACTTTAAGAAATAAAATTCAGTTTGAAATATCAACTCAACAAATGTAGACGTTTGCTTCATTTGCAGCCTCTCTCACATTTTGGTCCTTCGAGCCGGATCAAAATGTGAGAGAGGCTGCAAATGAAGCAAACGTCTACATTTGTTGAGTTGATATTTCAAACTGAATTTTATTTCTTAAAGTCCTAGCTTAGGTAGCTAACATGAGATTTTCATATCCTTATTTCTAGACCCACGGATCGGTATATCCCCGACCGCGGGAAACATAATCTCGCTCTTATCTCTAACATGTGGTGACCACTCGCAGGAGGTCATATAACCCACCAAGTGTGTACCTAGTCGAGTTAGGTATGCACACATGTGCTAGAGTGCAGGACATCTGCAGGCCAGACGCAACACTTGGTGTAGCTACGTTTATCTTGCCTATACATAGACAAGCTCTTATCTCTCTAATATACAAATGTGTGTTCTTTCTGAACATTCTGCCAAAGGCCGGCAAAAATAACATAAGATTTGCTTATGGATAATTATTCTTAAATGATTTAGTGGACTGTAATTATATATTTCATTTAATTTTTTAACTTAAATCTTGTTCTAAGTGTTCATTTTTATTTCCTTTTTAAAACATTGATTTTCATATAACTTAAATTAACATTGGCTTGAATTTGTCTTTCTTAATAATAAAACTTATAATTCTTCGTGTTCTGATGAACAAATGGTATTAAATTTTCAGACATTTTTGGTGTTTTAAATTTTAAATTGAGTATGCAGATTTATTAACCCACTAACAAAGAATACAATACAGCTCCCCGATTGAAAATTAATGCATTTTTGGCTTAGTTATGCGAATTTTAAACTATGATTTGTAATAAAAATTGTCATAAAATTGATATAAATATTGACTGCAGAATGGTATTATTCTTTCAGTCAGAAGCCTGTAATGCAGTGAAGGAGTCATTTCCGACCCCATAAATCATATATATTCTTGATCAGCATCGATATCCAAGTCGATCTAGCTAATTATTAAAGGAAACATTTTTTAGATTTTTTCCATTTTTTTAAGAAAATGATAAGGGGTTACATTATTAAAATTGTCAAAAATTGGCCAAAAATGTCATATTTTTACTTTTAAAACCGAGTATGCAGTTTTGTTAACCTATTAAAAACTAACATAGAAAAGCTTTCCGAATTGAATTTAATGCGTTTTTGGCTTAGTTATGCGATTTTTAAACTTTGATTTGTAGGAAAAATTTGTCATATAAAAATATACATAGAAAAATATTGGCTGAACAATGGTATTAAACTTGCAGTAACTTTAGGTATCGAAAATTAAAAATTGAATATGCAGATTTAATAATATAATAACAAAGAATACAATAAAGCTTTCCGAGTGAAAATTAAGGTATTTTTGGATTAGTTATGCGAATTTTAAACTATGATTTGAAGAAAAAATGGTGATGAAAACAGATATAAATATGGTCCCAAAGAATGGTATTAAATTTTCAGACATTTTTGGTTTTTTAAATTTTAAATTGAGTATGCAGATTTATTAACCCACTAACAAAGAATACAATACAGCTCCCCGATTGAAAATTAATGCATTTTTGGCTTAGTTATGCGAATTTTAAACTATGATTTGTAATAAAATTGTCATAAAAATTGATATAAATATTGACTGCAGAATGGTATTATTCTTTCAGTCAGAAGCCTGTAATGCAGTGAAGGAGTCATTTCCGACCCCATAAATCATATATATTCTTGATCAGCATCGATATCCAAGTCGATCTAGCTAATTATTAAAGGAAAACATTTTTAGATTTTTCCATTTTTTTTAAAAATGATAAGGGGTTACATAATTAAAATTGTCAAAATTGGCCAAAAATTTCATATTTTTATACCCTTGCAGGGTATTATAATTTCAGTCAGAAGTTTGCAACGCAGTGAAGGAGGCACCTCCGACTATATAAAGTATATATATTCTTGATCAGGATCAACAGCCGAGTCGATCTAGCCATGTCCGTCTGTCCGTCTGTCCGTCTGTCCGTCTGTCCTTCTGTCCGTCTGTCCGTCTGTCCGTCTGTCCGTCTGTCCGTCTGTCCGTCTGTCCGTTTCTACGCAAACTAGTCTCTCAGTTTTGAAGCTATCTGAATGAAACTTTGTAGTTAGCCTTCTATATACTCTCACTCGTATATATGTCGGAACGGGCCGGATCGGACTACTATATCATATAGCTCCCATAGGAACGATCGAGAAATTAATACAATTAATTTATAACCTTTTCAGTTTTCAACTGATTTTCATCAAATTTTAGGTATAGGCATTTAATTTAAGTCTTAAATTTTGTGGTAAATTTCATGAAAATCGGACGACTATATCATATAGGTGATGATCGTTTGATGTGGAGGAAAAATGCAAATCAGTGAATGTAAAACTGCAAATATAATATGTATAGGTGAATGAAATGAAAGCAGGTATTACTTACTTCATTGTTTTTTAACACAAAGATATATAATTTGTATTGTATGGTTTTTTATTCATAGAAGTTCTATCTGCAAGGGTATATAAACTTCGGCGTGCCGAAGTTAGCTTCCTTTCTTGTTACTTTTAAAACCGAGTATGCAGTTTTGTTAACCTATTAAAAACTAACATAGAAAAGCTTTCCGAATTGAATTTAATGCGTTTTTGGCTTAGTTATGCGATTTTTAAACTTTGATTTGTAGGAAAAATTTGTCATATAAAAATATACATAGAAAAATATTGGCTGAACAATGGTATTAAACTTGCAGTAACTTTAGGTATCGAAAATTAAAAATTGAGTATGCAGATTTTATAATATAATAACAAAGAATACAATAAAGCTTTCCGAGTGAAAATTAAGGTATTTTTGGATTAGTTATGCGAATTTTAAACTATGATTTGAAGAAAAAATGGTGATGAAAACAGATATAAATATGGTCCCAAAGAATGGTATTAAATTTTCAGACATTTTTGGTTTTTTAAATTTTAAATTGAGTATGCAGATTTGTTAACCCAATAACAAAGAATACAATACAGCTCCCCGATTGAAAATTAATGCATTTTTGGCTTAGTTATGCGAATTTTAAACTATGATTTGTAATAAAAATTGTCATAAAAATTGATATAAATATTGGCTGCAGAATGGTATTATACTTTCAGTCAGAAGCCTGTAATGCAGTGAAGGAGTCATTTCCGACCCCATAAATCATATATATTCTTGATCAGCATCGATAGCCAAGTCGATCTAGCTAATTATTAAAGGAAAAAATTTTTTAGATTTTTCCATTTTTGAAAAAATGATAAGGGGTTACATCATTAAAATTGCCAAAAATTGGCCAAAAATTGAACTTTTTAACTTTTTAAACCGAGTATGCAGTATTGTTAATCTATTAAAAACTAACTAAAATAAGCGAGGCGGTTGCTGTTTTGTTAACCCTTCCCGTCATCTTTACTTTCAATAAAAAAAACCACCAGTAATGTTTGCAAAATATGTTTATTTTCAAGTTGTTTATCAATACGTTTTACTTAGAAAATTCTCCATTTAAACGTTGGCATTCTGCTTGATCCAGGATCGCAGGGCTCCCACATAGGTGTACATGGCGGGACGTCCCTTGGCGCCGCAACCGAATCCCCAGGACACAACGCCAAAGAGCTTTCCATCGACGGTTAGAGGACCACCTGAGTCACCCTGGCAGGAGCTCACCTGGCCACTGGGATGTCCGGCACAGACCATGCGGTCGGTGAGCCCGGGAATATTCTGGGAGTTACAGAAGTCGCGGCTCCACAGCTGCACCTGTGCGAATTTCAGGCGGTTGGGTAGCTGTAGGTTCTGGTTGATGGCTCCGAAGCCACTGATCGTGGCCATGGTATCAGCGGCATAGTTGGAATCAGAGTCCGCCAGCTGGATAGTCTTCACGGATCCTCCCATGGGCACGGCGCTGCTCAGCCTAATCAGCGACATGTCGAAGTCCTGGCTCTGCGGATTGTACTGCGGATGGATGATGAACTGGGCAATGCTGAAGGTCTGACCATTGCCAGCGCTCAGGTCGTTGGTGCCCACAATGGCCATCATCTGGCTGGGACTCTGGCCCATGGTGCAGTGGGCAGCCGTCACGATCATCGTCTCGGAGATCAGGGAGCCACCGCAATGATGGCGACCCTTCAACTGCAGGGAAACCTGATGCGGAAATTGTCCAGGGGCAGCAAATTGTCCGCCTATAATCCGCGACTCCTCCGAAGGCTCCACCTCGCCGAGGGAGGACGCCACAACCAGGAAGAGGGTCAGAGGTGTTGCTATAGTCTTAAGCGGAGACATGACAAAGGTTGAGTGTGCTGACTGTGGGTTGGGGTGTTGCCTATTTATAGGTCTTTTGGCGTTTGTTTCATTCGAGTGGTTTTATCGCCCGAATGGCACACTTCCATGTGGGAAGCACTTGCGATAAGTGATTAGTTGGGTGAGGTTTTATTATTCAGGGTACTATAATTTCAGTCAGAAGCTTAACATAAGTATAAATATATACATGTTTAAAGACATGTTTTACTCCAATAAAATAATAGTTTAATACTTATTTAAATATTCCTAAGGAACATCTTGACTCCTGGAAATCTATTAGCGCTTTTGAAAATCTATTCCAGGTCTATTCAGATTATTTAACACAGATTGAAACTCTTTAAGGTATCGCTATACTTTTATTTTTTCAAATAGCTTAGTAATTGCCAATATGTAACTAGGCCAAGCAGCAGGGGCTCGGCCCGACATGATTTCATGTGCGAAATTTAAATTTTAGCCACATAAAAATCAAGTTCAACGCGCCGTAACATTTTTTATAGTTTAGTTCTAAAACATCAGTGAGAATCGGAATTCTTAGATCCTCCAGCTGCATGTCCGTTGCTGATCATCCAGATGTTCTTCCAGATCTCATGCTTGAAAATATTTCGATAGTTTTGCACGGAAACCAGAAACTCTGTGCCAAATAGAGTTGGAATCATAACATTTTCGGCAGCCAGATTTCGATTTGTGGTGGAATGAACAATCACCAAAGGGGAGTTGCTCTGTAATCAATTATAAGAAAACTATAAGATTTAATAAATATTTAAGATCACTTACAGGAATATCTTCCCCTTCGCTTTCAAAGCGTAAGTTTGGATTAACGTGTCTGCAAAACCAGTTAGTATAAGCCATCGGAATATCACTATTGGGAGATTTACATTTCTATAAAGGAAACAAAGATGAAATATATACATTTATAAAAGGTAAAAAAGAAACTTACACTGCGCTGAACTAGCCCCAAGTTGAGATTCACCTCGCCATGTTTTTGGGACATATAGCTGGCATTGATGCCCTGCTGCAGGTTGCATCGCTTGGGCCCACTGTACAGCACAATGGGATCCTGTTCCCCGGACATGCACTGCAGCTGGAATCTCTGCCCATACTTTATGTTCTGTCCCGTAAGATCGTGATCGCCTCCGCTGACAATTCGAAAGGAGTTCCGGACACAGGGTTGCCGAGAAGGTGCCACCGACAACTCACAGTCCTCGTTGATCGATTGACTGCGATACACCAACCTCTCGTTGATCACCACCGATAGAGCGGCATTTAGCTCGGCTGAGTCTACATTCTCGATGCCCATGGTGATGGGCATTAGCTGCACCACATCCCCGAAAATTATGTTTTGCTTTGGAGCAGCCAGGACAATAGGCTTTAGGAAATTATCGTACAGTTTGCGTGCCTTAACCACAAGGAGTTCACCCTTATCGTGTTGCCGCTTGAAATTTACTATTGTGTCCTATAAATTGATATTAATTTAAGTTACTTAATAAATCAATAAGTAATGAGCGGCTTACCTCCTCAAGACACTTGTCTTCCACCCAATTGCCAATTCTAACACTCGGCTGAAAACGAGTGGAACCCGAATCCGTATCGATGATTCTGCAGGGCATTTTAAAGTGTATAAATTAAATGTAATTTTAATAACAGTTAAGGAATATATAGGCAGTAATTCAAATGTATTTACTTTGTGAGAAATTATAAATCAAAGGGTTCTGGATACATTGAGATCTTATTTATTTCACCACCTTTACACCCCAATATTCACCACACTAGAAAAAAACTGAAGCATACTTTTTGGTGTCTTGAGCAAATATAATTACCTCTGGAGCAAGTGATTCTCAGAGTCCACGCTGCGTATGAGTAATGTGTGACACAATATTTAGCACTAGCACACATTTCTGGTCTCTAAGTTATCTATTTGCCTCTTCTTTATGAGATCAGCTCAAACAGCGATGATTGGCCATGTTTGCTGGGATTACACTCGGTCCATCCGTCTGTCTAAATTTAAGTCCAAGAGGTCTGGAATCTTGGTGAGACATGTCACCATTAGCTTTTCCTCTCTCCCAGTGGGTTGTCTGGGCCAAATATCGGTGACAAGATAAGCTATTTGTATCAGCATTTAGCACATCGTCCCCGCTGTTGATCGCGTTAATTGTGCTTGTTATTCATTATCGCTGTTGGCGGCTGGTGTCGCTGTTTTACCTGTTGTGCGATTTACCTGTGCCCACATTTGCAAGTTTGAGTAGTAAATGTACTCAGCCGGATAGATCGGCGTGCACATCACGTGAACGTGAGCAGGCGGCTCGGCCGATTTGCGACACGTTTCTTATCTAGCCACTCGATTGCAATGGGGGGCTATATGCGATATATTGTCGCCGGGCTATGAGTTTTATTGCCATATTTACCTCCAGGCCCTCTTCTAATCAGCTATCAGTCGGTCCATGTTTAGTTTTCAAACTGATTTATTTTTGTTTTCGTACAAGAGAGTTTGGGGTGCAGACTGAATTTCACAAAAGATGAAATAGGGATATGTGGGTCTATTTATTTGCTGTTTTATTTTATGTGTTACAATCCCCTAATTTATCTGTTTTTGAGTCAAGCTCACTAATAAATAATATGAGAGATACTTTCTACTCATTTTCTAATTCCTAGTTTAGTTAGTTTAGTTTTCTCTTACTTTTAAATAGCACAAAATTACCTAATGTAGTTCAAATGGCTTTTGTTCCGCTTTATAATTTTAATCTTGATCTTTATTATTTCCCTTTTTAAAGTACAACCATTAAAGTTCACAAAATGTGTAGCTGTTTGTATCATTTGCTCTCAATATATACTATATTAAATACATTGTAAATATAGAAACCCTATAAATATAGTCACTAGGGCCATAATTCTTAAGACTCAGTTCTTAACGCCTTTAATCAGATTACTTAATCTTCAAAATAAATATATACAAAAATAAAGAGTGCCTCTTATCTGTCATAATAATTTGTGACTTCATTTTGAGCAAATACCAAGAACAATCAAAATTTACTAGAAGAGAATTTAAGGTTAGCTAAATATATATTAAATATTTTAAGGAAATTAATATATTTCTATCTGCTTTAGCAAGGTATTTTAACTTCAGATAGAAGTATAAAACGCAGACATTTCTGACCCTAAAATGAATATATATTCTTGATCAGAATTCAAAACCGAAAATTTCAATTTCCTGAAATGTTAAATTGAGTATGTAAATTTGTTAAACTGATAAAAACTAACATATGTTAGGAACGCTTCCCGATTTGAAATTAATGCATTTTTGGCTTAGTTAGGAGTTTTTTAAACTGTCCTGTGTGTATTTTTGCGACAAGACGGTATTTCAAATTAATCACAATTAATTATCAAACGATTCTACTACTATATAACTTTCTTAGGACCTCTTGACGTGAGTGACTCAATTCTTCTATGGAAAATCACTTGACATTTCATCAAAGATAATGCCAAATAATGGAATATAAGAACTCTTACCCTTGATTTGCACCTGGAGGTAATGCAATCTGCCACATTAATTGTTCGTAGGCCACAAAATCGAGTTCTGTTATCTTGGTCAAAACAGAAACCAGCACAGATGGAAATCCGAAAACAAAGCGTAATATATAATATATTAATTGCGTCAAACGACGGGCCCCAAAACAAAAAACGATAGTCGATCAATTGCGGCGCTGGAATATCATCTGCATCGATCCGATACCCCGCGACTTCGTCACTGTCCTATCTTGAATTGCAAAATACAATTAATGGTGAGATAATGTACTCGTGGGACCAACCACTTCGTAGGACCTGAAACGGATTGTTCGAATATGATTTGGCACGGGCAATTGAATGGCACTCGAAGCTGTCATACTTATAGCTTGTGCCAGGCGATAGCAGATCTCCAAAAAGGCTGTGGCAAGTGGAGTCGCGGTTGTTAGGCTAATCCAAAGACCATAATCCCAAGTCATGTGACAAGGTTTTCCCAGTCCCAATGGATCAGTCATTCATGGTGCCGACCCTTCATACATATAAGTTTGTATATCTTTAAATATATATTCGTAATGTGATCCAGGTTGGTGCTACTGCTGGTCAAGATTGTGTTTTACGACACTTTATAGACCCGAAATCAGTTGATATTGGCTACCAGCAGTAGAGAACTTAGCCTTAAGTCTTATCGGCTGACCAAAGTCGGTTTATGGCGCATTAAGGCACTGGGGAAAATGACAGTATAGAAGGGGATATTTGGAAATAAATAGAGTAGTAGCTAGTGTATATATAGCTCAAATTGAGAAGAATAGAGTAACACGTTGATATTGTGTATGCTAAAATTAAGTACTATTCAGATGGTAGAAATAAATAGACATAGACCTAGATTAAGTATATCTACCACTTATGGTTTTATTACTTTTAAATCTCGTAAATACCTAATTTATTCAAATATGGTATTATTGTTTTAATTTTTCAAGTGTTTTTTCTCTCAAATTCGAATACCTAAAGCTGATAATAAAACGGATTTACGCAGAAACTAATGGTTTCTTGTGCGTAACCATTTTGATTATGGGGGTGTATCAGGCATTCTCCCATCCTTTTGAGTTTTCTGTCCTTGACGTCAGCACACTTGCTCTAAAGTCTAGTGATTGTAAATCTCCTCATTATTCTTGTCAATTGTCAATATCGTAAAAGTCTCTATCATCGCTCATCACTCATCGCACATCTCTCATGCGTCTCTCATGCGAGTGAGAGCAATTAAGTTAATAATTTGCCAGAAAGTGCGAGTAAGAGCTCACGTGAAAAGCACACGATTGAGTCGAGAGTTGAAATCACAGTAACTGCACTTGACTCTCTTAACTCTCTTTAACTGTTTGACAGGAACAAAGTCTCTCTCTCACAGTGAGATCCCCGCCAAAGGGCCGTGTCCAACTGTCACTCACTCCGTTCAATGGTTTATGGCCGCAGTTATCATTATCATTATCACCTGGCCGGCCAGGTATTTATCAGGCGAAACGAAGCTCGGCCGATGAATTAAATTGAGAGCTTCGTGTTTCCTAACGTCGCTGCCGGCGTCAACGTAGCCGCTTTGCGAGTAAAAAACAGAAACAGAATTATAAAAACGTTCAATTAGTCGAGGTAGTAACTCATTACAGTTCCAACGCTCGTTGCGAAAAGAGCAACACAAGCGAAAAGCTCGGAAAAGGCTGGTTTTCCCAAAGTGCGTGTGGAGGAAATTCGCAAGGCTTTCCCAAATATAAAGTGAGTGAAACATTTCCAGTCTAGACTCTAAAGTTGAGAGAATTTTGCAGCGTTGTCAGTTTTCGTTCCTTTGTTTTGTCTGCTAATTCGCTGATATCCAGTTACAGAAAATAAACAGTGAACCCTCCAAGTAAATGATGTTCTAATTGGTGAAAGTTTGATAAATATTAAATGATAAAAAAAAGTTTATTCCACATCCTTATGATTGCTAAATCCTTAAGGATACAATCTTTATTATTGGCTAAAAATTAAAGAAAAAGTGTCGTGAGTAAATAACTATTACAATTACTATACATTTCCTTGCATTGCAATTAATAAATAACTAAATTTTAATGCCATTTCAATGGCTTTTGAATACAAAGTAGAGAGTGCTAAAAAGGCTTGCAACTAATAAAAAGTAAGTTCCCATAGGTAACTACCTTTACTTTTTATTAGTTCCCTTCATTGGCGTGCCCTGTAATTAGCCTCACGGCGAAAACATTAAGAGAGAGAGAAAATTATTAAAAACCAGAGTAAGGCAAAACAGCTGATTCGTATTTTTGAAAAGTTGTTTCTTCTTATGAATATTCGTTAGCGCGTGTGTTTGTGTTCAGTTCAGCTCAGTTCACTTCATTTCGCAGTGAGGTGAGTGAGTTTCTGATTAAAAACCGCCTGACAATTAAGCCACAAAAATTATAAAAATATGTTTTAATACCTCCCTCCGCTCGTATGCAAATAACTTCGAATATACAAAAAATTTAACAAAAGGCTAAACAGAACAAGTAACTTCGAGAAACTGAAGTTTATATACCCTTTCATTTTGCAATTTATTTATAAGAATACATTGGAAATCGGTCATAACTTTGCATAGATTAATATTTTTATATGAAATTTTTATAACAAATCAAAGCTTAAAAATTTGATAACTTAGCCAAAAATGTTTGAATTTTAATTCGAAATGCTGTATTATGTTGGTTTTTATTCGGTTATCAAATTTGCATACTCAATTCAATTTTCCAAAAAATAAATAGCTAAATCGACTCGGTTTTCGATGCTGATCAATAATATGTAAGATATGTAAGATTTATGGGGTCGGAAATGACTCCTTCACATTTTACAAGCTTCTGACTGAAATTAAAATACCCTTAAAGTGTGTTAAAACGTGTTAAATAAGCAGAACAGAAAATTATGGCTCTTTATTGTCAAGAAACTCAATTGAAGTGAATGATTTACGATCGTTAATGATGCATTATTTTGTGTGTAACATTGACTTTACTTCCTCGCAGACAAGTGGCCAGTGATTACGAGAACCCTAGACTATAGATTTTATTGCGAATCCCGTTTCTCAATTTCGATCCAATAGCAATCGATCCAAGTCAAGTGCTAAAATGCGCAACGATAAGCAGATAAGCACGTGAAAATACCTTTTCGGAGGGCCCCTAAGACCCCCAACTCATACAG